TTCTCAACCAGGATTCCCTAAAACACTAGAATTCTGTGAGAGTTTACAAAGAATTCCACAAGACATTATTATTTTTTTAATTAACATTTTCTTTGAACTGTAGATACAGTAAATTTTAAGTAGAGATTCCAGGAGTCCTGGAAATGAATTCAGGAATTCCTTCAGAGTAAAATAAAGGTGGAAAAGGCTGCAGTAGTATCTTATATTCATGGATACATTAATGTCAAAACAAAACACACCTGTAAAGCAAGGTTACTTTTGCTGAATTCTTCCTGCTGCTTTTCTGCATCAGCCTGTACCATTCCCAAAACTTGGAAAGTTAGATTTTAAAAATAGTTTATTATAACAGAAATTCTAAGCCCTGGGTTGCTGTTGTTGGAAATAGCAACCTTCCAAGCCTCCACTAACAGTTTGTAAATGTGTATAATAGTTAACCTATATTGTATGTACATTTTGGTTTGTTAGTTTCACTGTACCTCTTTGGTGTGGGAAGGGCTTCAGACACAGAACTCCATCTATATAAATAAAGATGTAATGTTCGTGTGTGGGATTAACATAACTCAAAAACCACTGGACAAATTGACACCAAATTTGGGCACAATACACCTATCAGACAAACAAGTGACCATCACTCATAAAAACACTGAAAAATACAGCAGAAGAGACTTAAAAAGTCAGAAAACAAAAAATACATTACAACACATGTGCAAAACCACATATATACACAAACACACATATATACACAAATACACACACACATATACACATATACACACACACAAAACTCATATACACAGACTGGGCCACAGCAACGCATGGCAGGGAATGGCTAGTTTTGTATTAAGTTTGCATTAGACCTCAGTGGAGATGGATGCATGTTGCTGTTTGGAGTTTAGTAGAGAAGTATGACTTACTAGCTGTACCCGACACGCATTGCTGAGGCCAACCTTCCCTCCCTCTTTTGCTTCTCCTTCCTTCCCTTTTTTTCTTTCCTTCTCTCTTTCCCTTCCTTCTCTTCCTCTTCCCTTCCTTCCCTCCCCTTTTCTTTCCCTTCCTCTTTCTCCCCATTCATCCTTCTACCTATTCTTGGACTGCAACTCCCAGTAGTCCTATTGATCAATATATCTATCTACCTACTTATCTCTATGTAATCTATCTATCTTACCTATCTGGAGGATTGCTGGGAGTTGCAGTCCAGGAATAAATTGGAAATATTTAGGAATTGGAATGCTCTCAAAGAAATCCAAGATGAAGAAAGCTTGGAAGCAGTGCATTTGGATCATCCTCCTCTCCTAAAGAGTCTGGTCTAGGGGAAGCTGGGATATGTAGTTCAGAAGAGAGTGTGGATATGCTATTGTGTATTTTGTTTGCCAGGGAAGTCGTTTTGCACATGCGCTTTAGTGCCTTTTTGCTTTTTCTTGGCTTTTTAAGTCCCATCGGCTGTGTTTTTCAGTGTTTTTATGAGCGATGGTCACTTGTTAGCCTGATAGGTGTATGGTGTCCAAATTTGGTGTCAATTTGTCCAGTGTTTTTGAGTTATGTTAATCCCACAAATTAACATTATATTTTTATTTATATAGATTGACTTCAGTGAGTACAGCTATCCTTAAAGACTATGACTAGTATGTTGGATATATGTAAGAAGTAAACCTGAGATGTTATTTTAAAGAAGACTACTTTGTCTTTGTCTCTTGAGTGCATGTTGTAACTAAAAGATTTCAAGAGAAATATATCGTTTTGGGCAACTTCAAAGAAACAAACATCCTCTGCCAACCAAATATATTTTTGTAGTGGTATGTCTCTATCCTTGGCAGTCTAAAAACATGGTTCTTCAGTTTAACAGCTGAGTTACCTGTGTGCCATAACTTCAATGCTTATGAATATCACTTGTTCAAAGAGTTGACTTATAACAAGGGCATGCTTTTCTTGACTAATGGTTTTCCTGAGATAGTCTCCATATGTTCATGGAGATTAACATTTGCCAAACGGATGTGACTTTTTTTACTTTTTCCAATAATGTTATGGTACACTTATTTCCAATAGCTGTGAGTTTTCTGGGCTGCATGGACATGCTCCACAAGCATTCTCTCCTGACATTTTGCCCACATCTATGGCAGGCATCCTCAGAGGTTGTGTGGTCTGTTGGAAACTAGGCAAGTGCAGTTTATATATCTGTGGAATGTCCGGGGGGGGGGGGGAGAGAAGAACTCTTGTCTGTTTGAAGCAAGTGAGAATGTCGCAATTGACCACCTTGATTAACGTTGAATAGCCTTGTAGCTTCAAAGCCTGGCTACTTCCTGCCCGGGGGGAATCCTTTGTTGGGGTGTGTTTGTTTCCTGTCTGGAATTCCCTGTTTTCTGAGTGTTGTTTTTTTATCTACTGTCCTGATTCCAGAGTTTTTTTTACTACTGGTGGCCCAATTTTCCTCCTTTATGTTGAAATTGTCCACATGTTTGTGGATTTCAATGGCTTTTCTGTGTTCTCCATTCTATCCCCATTTCATTCCATTCTCTGTGTTCTCCAATGGCTTCTCCATTCTATCCCCATTTCAAAAGAGTACTGATATAGTTACAGGGTTGTTGTTTTTTTTAAAAGTACTTCTGCATAATTAACTAATTAACAATTTCAGTATGTTACAAGCCACTGCAATATGTTATAAAATTCACCAGATTAATGAGTTCACTCCTGTAGCTATAAAAAGTCACTAAGAAAAGCTAGAATTACATCACAAAATTAGTGATGTTATTCCTCATTACATGGCACTCATAATGCTGCCTTTGCCTTAGTTGATGCAAAAATGATTTAATTGTTAGAAATGTGTTGTTTTTTCAGTAGCCTTTTCCTTTTTCACAGCTTAGCCACCAAGGAAAAAAAGAGGGGGGGGGGGGGAGGAAAGGCTGAAAAAGAGGCTGAGAAAGAGAGTTGAAAGAATTGGTCCAGGAACACAGCTGTTTCTCGTCACATTTCTGTTTTATTCTCACTTAAAAGGCATCTGGTTTTCACCTCTGCTTGAAAATAATTGTACCACTAACACACATAATCCTTTCCTTCCATGGGTTCCTGGAACACTTGATTTGAAGAGATGTCTGCACTTTAAATTCAAACCACCTTCAAACTCATAACAACCTTTTCCAGCCTGTTGCCCTGCTGATGTTTTCTACTGTCCATAAGTCAGGTTGAAGAAGTTTATGAGAGCTGTACTCCCAACATTATTCGAAAGTCCACGTGTGTGATGTGTGTCCCATTACTGAAGTAAAAAAGTATTCCTTTGGTGTGTTGGAGGTGCCATCAGATGCTTCATTGCTTCTGTAGAAACAAATTAGTACCCCTACCCTTCTGGAAACACATTCTTAGGGTGCTTCCAGACAGCACCAAATAACGGGTTTTAATCAGGGGCAAAAAATCCCTGGACTTCAGAAGAGGTCCACACATAGACTTGTTGGTCCCGAGATTTCTGCCTCCACCACCCACGCTTGCTGCTTCATTGCGGGATTTAGAGGCTCTCAAGATGGCCAACGTGGGACTTCTGCCAGAAATTTTAGTGTTGTTTTTTTAAAAAAAAAAAAAAACACCTTAAGATGCTAATCATTGTATAAGTTCCATTCTTGGATTATATAAGCTGCAGGGCCATCTGCGCAGACAGGGTGTTGTTCCTGGGTTATACATGTCTGTTCCTGATTGCTCTTATTGTGAAAAGATGTATAACATTGACTAGGGGGCCACAAATTTGTCCTGGCCACAGAAAATGTGCCCTCTACATCCTCCTGTTTGCTGCGGAAGCTCCTGGGATAAAGGTAGTGTTTGGACGGGCACTTGGCTAACTGTCAGAGAAATTCTGAAACAGTAACTCTTTATAGAGACTAATATGAGCAAGCTATTTAATCTCAGCAGGCTGAAAGCAAAAACCAAGGACACAACAACATATTTTATATAACTCCAATATGCTGATGATGTAGAACTCCAATATACTGTGTGCATTCAGAAGAAGACCTACAAGCCACTCTAAACACCTTTGCAAAAGCATACGAGAAGCTTGGCCTCTCACTGAACATCGAGAAAACCAAAGTGCTCTTCCAGCAGTCACCAGCCAATCCCTCTGCAATACCAGAAATACAGCTTAATGGTGTAACATTAGAAAATGTAGACCATTTACACCACCTTGGCAGCCACCTCTCCACAAATACATACAAAGTACTGGTTGTTACCTATAATGCCCTAAACTGTTCAGATCCAGACTATTTGTCTAATCGCATCTCCCTACACAGACCTTCCCGTGCACTGCAGTCAACAGAGGAGGCCCTCCTCTCGGTCCCACCTTCATCACAAGCTTGGTTGGTGGGAACGAGAGAGAGGGCCTTCTCAGTAATCGCTTCCAGTCTCTGGAACTCCCTCCCTAAAGAAGTAAAAACTGCCCCCACCCACCTCTCCTTTAAGAAACATAAAAAAACCCAGACCTATGCACTTTAGCTTATGGAGAGGAGGAGGACTTAAGACACTTTAATTACTTGGAATGCTGGCTAGTCCCACTTGTACTATATGGCTACCACAATACATTTTAAATGAACACCAGTGCCAGCCATTTTTAATGTAACTATTTAAAATTTCTTTTAGAGTATTTGTTGTAATGTTTACTTATGTTTAGTTAACTATGCCCGATTGGATTGTTTTGTTTTATTTTTCATCACAATGCTTTAATTCTTTGTCGTAAACTCACTGGTATTACTTTTGCTTTATTGTGTATTATTTTGATACATTTGTACTCACCTGAGGCATTGAATGCTTGCCTTTTTGTTTGTGTAAACCACCCTGAGTCCTTTTTGGGAGAGAGGGAAGTCTAGAAATAAATTATTATTATTATTATTATTATTATTATTATTATTATTATTATACCATTTCTGGAACAAAAATGGGTTTGGTTGATAAATTGATAGCGAATGAACATTAACACAGCTCTTTTTTTTGTCTCTTTCTCTCACACCCTTCCCCTTCCTTCCTTTCAGGTATCTTGGCATAACAAGGCCTCTCACCTATCCTGTAAGGCAAAATGGGAAGTGTATGGCCAAAATGATCCTTTGTGTGTGGCTGCTGTCTGCTTCCATTACTCTGCCACCACTCTTTGGCTGGGCTCAAAATATCAATGATGACAAAGTTTGCTTGATCAGCCAAGACTTTGGATACACAATTTATTCCACCGCAGTTGCATTTTACATCCCCATGTCGGTGATGCTTTTCATGTACTATCAGATCTACAAGGCCGCCAAGAAAAGTGCAGCCAAACACAAGTTTAGTGGCTTTCCACGGCCTGAAGAAAATGAAGGGATTGCTTCTGCCAATGGAATTGTGAAACTACACAAAGAATCAGAAGATTGCACCAACTTTTCACGGCTGCTTAAGCATGAACGGAAGAACATTTCCATCTTCAAAAGGGAGCAGAAAGCTGCCACCACATTGGGGATTATTGTAGGGGCTTTCACTGTGTGCTGGCTGCCATTTTTCATACTTTCCACCGCTAGACCCTTTATCTGTGGGACGTCTTGTAGCTGTATCCCTTTGTGGGTTGAAAGGACATTTCTATGGTTGGGTTATGCAAACTCTCTTATAAACCCATTTATATATGCCTTCTTCAACCGGGACCTGAGAACCACCTATCGCAATCTGCTGCAGTGCAGATATAGGAATATCAACCGTAAGCTGTCTGCTGCAGGCATGCACGAAGCCCTGAAGCTTGCTGAGAAGCCCGAGTTTGTTCTGTAAGGTCATTTGCCTTTTATTACAGTTTTCTGCTTGTCTATGTATGCACTTTTAATTCTGAGTAAAAATCAAACAATAGATTTTGGTTGGAAATCTTTGCTGGCTACTGCCATCACTCAAAGAATACTGGGAAATGTAGCCCCAAAAAGTTGTTTGCACAAACAGATTAAACTGTAATGTGAATTCTGGGAGTTCTATAGTCAAAATCTCTATGGTTCTCTAGGGGAGCATCCTGACAGCCCCTTAAAAGTGCAAGCTCCCGCGTTCAGCACATAGCAGGAAAACCCTTTTTTGTGCCAAATTAATTTGATACTGGAAAGACCCAGGTCTTCTTGAAAGACCCGGTTCGAACTAGGTATGACCGCTGTCTGGACTTCGGAAGTTCTGGGACTTCTGAGAGGACCGTCTGCACAGCTGTCCCACATTTTCCAGGCTGAATCAACCTGGAATACCCGCGAGGTCTCTAACCCCCTCCCCAAAACCCCTTAAAAACAGGGGGGAAAGTAAAATAACTTATCTGCTTTGAACTGGATTATATGGCAGCATATACTAATACAATCCCATTCAAGTCAGATAATTTGGATTTTATATGGCAGGGAGATGGGGCCTCAGATTGATAGATGCCATTTCATTTCAAATGACTCCAGATTAGAACCTTTTGTTTTGTTTTTTTACTTGGATGGCCACTTCAGGTACAAGTACTTATTGAAATAGTTGAACAAAAATAAAACTTAGATAAACCAACGTGCTCTATGGTTTTAAATTATATTTGCAGTTTCACAAGACACTACAAAGTCACCAAATGCGACTAGCAAATGGTCAGAGGTGTAGGCTATGAGTAGTGTTTCTTACCTTAACCACATACTAAAAAAATAATAGTAATAATAGTACAACTAATCCAAAACAGTCATTGAGGAAATGCTCTATCCTTTCCTCTTCCCATGAGTCTGTGCCGAAGAGTTCGGACATATTGCTTCTGTTCTGACAGTGTGGGAAACTGTAGTTAACCTTAATCATGATTTAGTCAAACACCATGATTTAAACAAACTGGTTAATATCAAATTCAGCTCTTTGATTATGTGATGGCATGCCTGAGCCTTTGGGAAAACTACAGCATCTGGCTTTATTCGGGGGCAATTTGTATATCTTTTGATAAGATCAAGATCCTGAGCACACAGAAGCACTTTAGGCAAGGTGAAAAGATAATCAAAATGAGTTTACTGCAAACAAGATGAATAAAAGGTTAACTCCACCCGGGACTATCATAAGGTAATTTAAAACAATACATTACAAAAGGAGCCTTTGCTGGCTTCAGTCATCTCTCTGGAGTTTTCTGCCTCTGGTGCAAAACGATGGTTATAAACTCTCTCAATCTTCTTTCTTGTGAAGCATAAACTTCCGTTGTCCTTTGGACTGATGGTAGAAAAATACTGCTGAATGCAGGTGCTAAGGATGCATGTTTTTGGATTGCTAGGCCTAGGATTACCAGACAATTCCCCAAATCTCTAATGACCGTAGAAAAGGGAGGAGTCCAGCAAGACCCAAAAACTAATACAAAGGAAGGTATCTACACTTTTGGGGAAAATCTATGAAGAGAGGGAAATGAAGCAGAGGAGAGGAAAAGGCAGGGCCAAGACTTCACAGGTAAAATTTTTATTACAGTCAGGATTTTGTGTGTGAGAGAGAGAGAAAGAGAGGGAGGGAGGGAGAACCCTCCTGTGTATTGGTTGTACACCTGTAGTTCTTTTTCTCTTTCTCTTCTTTTCTTTTATTTTTGATTACACGTTGTTTGATTCTAAATTAGATTGTTCATGTTAAAAATTAAGAAAAAAGATATATTGGGATAAAGCCAAAGTAGAAAGTAAAGCTTTGAAATCAGTCCTTTCCTCTGAACTTCTCTTAATAGCAGTAGAGTCTTCCTAATCTCACTGGGGTTATTCTAGCTCATTTGCATCCGACTAAAGCATGGTTTAACACAAGGATGGATTTGTGGCCCAGAAAATGTTCTTGGGCTGCGACACTCAGTTCTAGCCAGCATAGCCAAAGGTGAGGGATTATGGAATTGTATTCAAAACCTGATTGACCAGATTGCCAATATCCGCTGGATAATGGAGAAAGGCAGGGAGTTTCAGAAAAACATCTATTTCTGTTTTGTTGACTATTCTAAAGCCTTTGACTGTGGATCATAATAAATTGTGGCAAGTTCTTAGTGGTATGGGCATACGAAACCACCTTGTCTCTCTCACGAGGAATCTGTATAAGGACCAAGTTGCAACAGTCAGAACTGACCATGGAACAACAGACTGGTTCAAGATTGGGAAAGGCGTACGGCAAGGCTGCATACTCTCACCCAACCTTTTTAACTTGTATGCAGAACACATCATGCGATGTGCGGGGCTGGATGAATGCACAGCTGGGGTAAAAATTGCTGGAAGAAACATTAACAACCTCAGATATGCAGATGACACCACTCTGATGGTCGAAAGTGAGGAGGAGCTGAGGAGCCTTCTAATCAAGGTGAAAGAAGAAAGCGCAAAAGCCGGGTTGCAGCTAAACGTCAAAAAAACCAAGATTATGGCAACAAGAATGATTGACAACTGGAAAATAGAGGAAGAAACCGTGGAGGCCGTGACAGACTTTGTATTTCTAGGTGCAAAGATTACTGCAGATGCAGACTGTAGCCAGGAAATCAGAAGACGCTTACTTCTTGGGAGGAGAGCAATGTCCAATCTGATAAAATAGTGAAGAGTAGAGACACTAACGAAGATCCGCATAATTAAAGCAGTGGTATTCCCCATAGTCACCTACGGATGTGAGAGCTGGACCATAGGGAAGGCTGAGTGAAGGAAGATAGATGCTTTTGAACTGTGGTGTTGGAGGAAAGTCTGAGAGTGCCTTGGACTCCAAGAAGATCCAACCAGTCCATACTTCAGGAAATAAAGCCTGACTGCTCATTGGAGGAAAGGATAGTAGAGGGCAAGATGAAGTACTTTGGCCACATCATGAGAAGAAAGGAAAGCTTAGAGAAGACAATGATGCTGTGGAAAATGGAAGGAAAAAAGGAAGAGGGGCCGACCAAGGGCAAGGTGGATGGATGGCATCCTTGAAGTGACTGGATTGACCTTGAAGGAGCTGGAGGTGGTGACGACTGACAGGGAGCTCTGGCGTAGGCTGGTCCATGAGGTCACGAAGAGTCGGAGACGACTGAACGAATGAACAACAACAACATTCAAAACCTGAAGGACAAATAATTGCCCATTCTGGATTGTCCATAATTAGCACATTAAATACAATATATCAATGAGAAGACTTTAAAAATTATTCAACATTTCAGCATAATCATCAAAAACTATTTTCACAACTCCAGACAAAACCTCAAAAACGCTACAGAATGGAAAGATGAGCTTCCAGGAGAATCAGCTTTCTTCTAAAGCAAGGTGCTTTCTACAAGCTAGAAAGGAAACCTTAGGGCCCTTCCGCGCAGCCATATAACCCAGAATATCAAGGCAGATAATCCACAATATCTTCTTAGTACTGGATTATCTGAGTCCACAGTGCCATATAATCCAGTTCAAAGTGGATTTTATACAGCTGTGTGGAAGGAGTCTTAGATCAAGTGTGGACAACTTCTTTGGGGACATTTCTATCTCTGAAGACACCAAGGACTATACTGAGCTTGAAAATGTGGGATCCCCCCCCCCCCCCAAAAGATTCTGGAAGTTTTCATTTTTCTTTAGGTTAAAGGTGTGTTTATGGTCCATGTACTTGGTTTAAAGTCAAATCCCCTACTTCTTCTGACTTTTAAATGTGATACAATTTGATTTTTAAAACCAGATTTTAGTTCCCAGGGCTCAGTAGAATCAGAAAAAAATGTCCTTGGCCACCATCCTTGATGTAGTGTTTAATCTTTAATATATGCTCCTAAACCCTGCTTAGCTCTTAAATGTTAGACTCACAGGAGCAGTTTAAGATGGCATCCCCTAGGAGACTTATGGATTTCATAGGATTTCAGGAGATCCTTAAGATATTTGTGATTGACATGGCTGTTAGTTACTTCATCAGTTTTCTAGCTGATGAGTGGAGGATATCCACTGCAAACATTTCTGTGGCATTCTGCTGTTAATGTTTTAATATTATTTATAAGTTTATTTCGTGTCAAAAGCCTTGCATAAATAAATAAGTATAAAACTGATAACATAAAGGGAGCAGAAGCTGTTAAGTAATTTTAGACCAAAAACGGGCAACAGCGACCTTATTGCCTGTAGCTGTAAACAGTTCTTCCTCTGTACATGAGGCAGGGCATTGTGGGCAAGTGGACAGATGCTGTTTGTTCTGCCCCACGATCGCACAAGGTGGAGGATTCTTCTAGGTGGTGCTGTTTAGTCAGGTTGTCTTCTGATCTCTCAACACCACTTCTTTGTTTGTTCAGGAACTTCCAAGCTGCCAGTTCTTGGTTTGCATCTGGAGGCAGACCCTCATGGGGGGCCATCCAGTCAAAATAGCCTGTTTTTCTGCCCACAGGGATACTCTTGCTGTTGCTGGAGGAACATTTCAAGGAGTAGTGGTTCTCATGAAACGTTTCCCTTGATTTAAGTCTACTGGAAAGAGGGTGATAGTCATAGTGTGGGTGGCTTTCACAATGTTCAACCTTATTTCTCTCGCAATTGGCAGCAACTTCCCATTGCACATCGGCAGAGGGGGGTAGCTTATAAAGTCTACCAACAGGTGTAGGTTTAAGACATTCCATGGTTTACTCTATATGTTACATTTAGTGCTATATTAATCTACTTCATATGGGCATTTATATGTAATTAAAATAATTCAATAGGGCTATTTTTATAACAAATATTTGCCACCACTAGAGCTAGGAAAAGTTATCTTTGTGGACTACAACATCCAGAATCCCTCCACCACTGTGGCATTGAGCATGACCACCAACTCAATAACATGGAAAGAGGTTTTTCTCTATCATTTTTTTAAAGAAAATCAGTGTAATGCA